TTCTCTGAGAGATGGGTTGTTGTTGATGTTGATTGATTGGAGAGTTTGTTCGCTTCTGTGTGGTGAATTGATAGTTTTGTCAATAATGTTTAATAGTCGGTATTTGTTGATGCTGAATGGGTTGAGCGATACCCATAACATTGATGCTGTTGAGCTTGTGAACGCTATCCAGCAGAAGCCGTGTGATTGTATACCAACTGGACATCCTGGACATTTGAGGAGATTGTTGGTTGGATCCATTGTAAAATGCTTCCCTTTGAGAATCATTCCTTCTTGCACTAATGATCGCCTCTTGTGGATCTTAACTATTGCATTTGAGCCATGTATAAACCAAAATATTGCTCTGGGATTTGGTACTGGACCATGGAATCCTATAAGATTTTCACTATTTGCAAAGGTTTTGAACCAATTTGGTTCTGGGCCAAGACAGATTATACCTGTATGTGAAGCAAGTTGGTGCCATGTAAGTTTGGTAGTACTGCCAAATTTCAGTAACTGATTAGTGAATTTCAGGTTGAGTACGTTTGTTGTATTTATTGCTGTTTTTTTGGATTGAGGTTGTAGACCAGTGAATAGGAAGCCAATTGAGTTCTCTGCGTTGTTCCAGTGGAACATACATTCTGTTGGGCATATGTGGATCTTGAAATCTTTGGCTGCCTTTGCTGCGTAAAGAATCCAATTGTCTTGACTAAATTTCTCTGGGTCACATATAGGGCAGAACCATATTGCCTTTTTTATTTGGATGGATCGGATGTCTTGTATGGTGTATTTCCTAACGGATGGGATGGCAAGTTTAGATATGAGGTTTTCTATCAATGTGGTTTTTTGTCTTTCTTCTATTGCTGAATATTTATTTATATTTATATTACTCTTTATAATCATTTATTGCTAATAATAAGAAAAATAAATTACTATTAAAACTTTAAAACAATAAGGCTAAACTTTTATACTTTTTTATATTCTTATCAATTTACAAGTCTAAGAAATTAAATTATCAAGTATATTATATAAGGAATATAATAAATTATGATTATATTATATAAAAATTGTGTTATGTAACTATAATTGCTAATTTTTTTTAGCTAATAATATATAAAAACTTCAAATTTCTCCTTAAATTACAAGATTGAAAAAACAAATCACTACTATATTGTATCTTTTGCTTAATCTTATAGATCTTATATTTGTATCAATTCTGTATTCTTAGAAACTTCAGCATACTATATTGACTATTTCAATTTAATATTCTTTTGCTACTAGTTCTTTTCTCTTGAAATAGAAATAATATGACAATATAATGAAAACAAGCAAAAGTTTAATAAAATCCACGCTTGTCAAAAAAAAACTTAATTCTAACTTTATAATCAATTTAACTTGTTTTTTTTAAAAAAATATCTTTTTTACTTTGTAATGATAATTTATTGTATACTGTAACAGGGAGAAATGGAACGCGACGTGATCGATCGTCGTGACAATGGTGAGCCGACTGTGATAATTAGGTAATAAAGGAAGGACGGGAAGGATTGTGAAAAAGAATTATGTCATCTAGCTTTAGCCATGTGCATTGTATTAGCGCTTATTATTTCATGGCCAAGCTGCCATAGCCAAATGTAAAGAAAAGAGAGATATAAATAACATGTAAAAGTAATGAGATAGAAAAGTAATGAGAAAATAATAAAAGAAAATTAATAAATAGAAACACGCCTCAAATCACCCTTTCTGCTAGAGTAAGCGACAGACTCGCCGTTACACCGTTACAATAAGTACTGGACAAAATATAGGTAAGTTCATAATAAAATATCTATCTTTAAATATATAAAATTACTCAATTGTCACACTTGACCAAGTATTATATCTCTTATCGACCCCAGGATTCTGCGAAACATGTTGCATAGCGTTATTGGCTAAAGCAACCAAATAGACAACCCTAACAAGATAAAAAACTTTTTAGGAATGTAATTACTTAAATAAGAATTGCGTATCATTTGGAAGACATTTGTAGAAAACCCAACTTATCATGTGGTCAGGGAAATTAAAAATTGAACCGATATGTACAATATAAAGACAAGAAACCATTAAACATACACACTAAATTTTGTCAATTTTAAATATGCCTGAAATCGAAAGACTTTTAAATCATGGGCCACCAAAATCATCGTATATCAAATACAACAAAAATGCATTATTTTCTTATTCTTCGGAAAACGCTGACACATTCCAGCATGGCTATTTAGGAATAGGCCCATCATCAGTTTCTGGTTCTCTCCATCTTCGTTATTCTGATAAGTCGCCTCTAATAGCCAATAGTATTGAATTAGTATTTATTGGCGATGAATTTATAACATATCAATTGGAAAGTGATAACCGATGGCTTTCAACAACTCGTAGTCAAAAATTTGCCGAATATACTTATTGTCTATGGGAAAGTAAAGAATCCCAGTCAATTACGAATCTCGACTTAAGATTTAATATTCAACTTGAGGACGATTTGCCTGGTTCATTTATCTGCATTTTACCAGAAAGTGGAAAGATTGAGTATATAATTCAGGCAAGAGTAAAGATGAACAACAACCATCCCGAAATAATAACTTCAGCTAGATGTCATTTGACACGATGGAGTTTACCATTTACTAAAATGTTGAATGAACCGATCAAAATGAAAAGACCTGATTACAACAAGTCTAACAATAAATCTTATATTGACGACATTTTATTTGAGGGATTATTGGATAAATTCTGGTATGAAATGGGTAGTGAAATCTCGGTTCAACTCAACCTAAAACTTCCAAGAAAAGATATTGCAATCAAAAATATTAAAATGCGAATTCATGAATTTCAATCATTTGTTAACCCTACGAATGGTCTCAATGAGATTCTTGCAATGAATAAATTAAGAGCTTTATCATGTAAAATTAATGGAGTCAACATCTCAACCTTTTATCGTCCCGAAGAAGATATATACGCTTTAATGATAGGAACGAATGTACCTCCTCTTGCGAATAACCAAATGACACCAGAGTTGATCGGAACGAAAATCATGCAGTTTATTCAAATTTGGCACCGATTGAGAATTAAAGTAAATTTCAGAGATAACAAACAATTAATCTTGCAAACTGAAATTGGAATCAGAAATTGTTTATCTTCTAAAGAAATTCAGAATGGTAGACACAACGGAACTATTTATCCAGAAAGTTAATACGATAAATACAATTTGGTAAATTCTTATTTTATTATGAATTCATTGATGTATTTTATCCATAAATCAATATTTAAATAAATGATGGAATATATTTTTATTGTCTTCTGCCAATGTGATATCGTATAAAGTGTTAGATCTTTCACACAAATATTACTTTAAACAATATTCCATCTTCCGATTTCTCTGAAAATATGTTTATCTTCTAACCTGCTGCCGTGTATTGTTTTTTCGTAAACCACCAAGTCCCAGTTTCCCCGCCCTCCCTCCATATCACTGAAATCAATCATTTTGTGTGCCATCGCCTCAATTTTCGCCAGTACATCTTCAGTCAATATATCTTGACCTTCAGGGTATGTATGACTGCAATAAGCCAGAGAGATATGATCGATTCTCTTCGGACGAATCAAAATTTTAGTATTATGATTATTAATACTGATAGTTTCGTCATCAATATCGAATAATGAAATCTGTCCTACTAATTCATGTAATGCTTGGCAAACATTTATAGAAATTAAAACTGCTCTTGAGCGAATAATCCCTTCAATTTTGGGATGAGTAATTTGACCCTTATGTGATTCGAGAAAGCTATTGATAAATTTAATTATTTTATCAAGTTTTTCATGAGATGATTTGTCGGGACCATCGTATAAATTGAAGAATCCTGTCATTGAAACGTGTGGATGATATTTGAGCGCTTCATTTGGACCGAATAATTTCAACGTTTGATCATAGAAGTTGGCGATACTTTGATAAAATCTGGAGGTTGACGAAGGTTCAAGATATATTATACAAGAAATTTTTGATTTTTGATGCTGAGAGGACATGTTTCCAGAAAGAGAATAATGGATGAAATTTAACTCGTATTGATTTTCTTGATGTTTCCCGAGCCCTACCAACAAATGGGTAAAGTGAGGTTCACAGAAGTTTTGATGGTCGGAAATACTTTCATAGTCATTTTAGAGTATAAGAAATTCTAAGTAACGTCACATGCATATTTTTTCTAGAAAGAAATAGAAATTACTCTATGAACTTCTATTTAATATAATGGTAATCTACGCCTACAATGGCTTTTGATTTATGCTGTATTAAGAATTTTTAAAATAATATTCAATAAAAATAATAGATAAGGTTTTATACAAACAAGTATTAAATAATAATATAATATTAAAAAGTTTCTATCAAATAACTTATATTATAATAACAGTATTTATCAATAAATGAAAAATTATTTAAGATTATTAAAATTAATCGAAAATATGTATAAATTTTTGTTTTTTTTTTAATGAATTTCATATACTGTATAAACTCTTTATTATTATATTTAATGATTTTTCTTTGAATAAAATTTTTTATATTTTGCAATTAAATTATTATGTTGACTATTATAAATATTTTTAATGAATTTGTTTAATGAGCTAAGTATTTAAAAATCTAAGACAAAATGTAATTAATTAAATATTTTAGGTACAAAAGAATTCTTGCAAATTATATATACTTTAGTAATACTGTATATCTTCTTATACCATCTTATATAATTTTTAAAATCAATATTTTTAATAATAAGATTTTCTATAAAATATGAGTCATTATTTTTGAAGGCGACAAAAATGCTAGATATGATTTTTTCAGACCCAGCTTTTAAACAATACATATATAATATAAATTTTAGGATCACACCAGAAAATTTCTGGTCCACCTTCGAAAATAATTACCCATATAAAGAAATAGTTGTTTCAATATAGAATTCTTACAATTCTAAATTTGATTTTAGATATTATTATAACAAAGTTGATTTTTATTTTTTTGTTAAAATATTTTTTTGTTATTTCTAACTTTAATAATAATATTTGAAAAACATTATTAAACTATATTGAAACTAATTATAGTATATTATTAATTAAAAGTTTTATATTAAATAGCTTTATTTAAGTATTATTAATAATTAAGTTATTTTTATAAGTTAAATATAATATAAGTTAGAAAATTAATTTTCTAAAATAATAATAAATAAAATAGTTCAAGAAAATATTGATTTAATAGATAATAAATCTATTTTTTAATAAAAATTTTATTAATTTTTAAATAATATTATATAATTGATATTTGAATATAAAAATAAATTTGTTAATTATCTATAGTAAGGATGTTTTTGAGTTTATAAAATATATTGTATATTGTTATATTGATTTTTGCTCAAGATTTTTATTATATTTTGTTCAATTTTTATTAGTATTTATTTTTAAAATATTATTTATTTTAGAATAATCTTTATATTATTATTTTAATTATTGTTTAATACCATGCTTTTTATATTATTATTGCTTTGGAATATTTTCTATTTTATTTATTTATTTTTATTTATTTATTTTTATCAGAGTATTTGTTTTTATATTAATATATATAAATAATTATTTTGATAAATATTATATTTCTTTTATATTTTTATGGATTTATATAACTTATATTTATTATATATAAAAATATTATATATTTTAAATATACATATAAAGTCTCTAATTTTTTCTAGAAATTGACAAGATAGAACTTACATTTTTATTAAATAAATATCTTGATTTTTACAAAACAAATCATCATTGTCTCTTTTATTTAATCTTATAAATTTCAAAATTATATTAATTTATATATTCTTAATTTTTTATTAATCCTAATTAACCATTTTAATTTTGTCTAGCATTATATTAATTCCAGTCAATTATCTTAATTTTGCCCGGTTTTATGTTAATTCAGTTAACCATCTTAATTTTGCCTGGCATTATATTAATTCTGGTCAGTTATTTTAATTTTATCCGGCTTTATGTTAATTCCAGTTAGTTATCTTAATTTTGCCCGGCTTTATGTTAATTCCGGTCAGTTATCTTAATTTTGCTCAGCTTTATAATGATTCCGGTCATCTTTAATTTTGGCCAACTTTACAAATTATATATAGAGAATCAATTTAATATAAAAGTTTTGAACATTTATTATATTATTAGAATATAGAGTTATATTTAATATTATTGATCCAACTTTGGATTATAAAAAAGAATATATTTAAAGAATGTATATATATATATATTTAGGACTAAAGTACAATACATGCAAGGATTTTTATTGTAGATCAAAAGATTACAAGTAATCATTATATGAACAGTTTTAGCTATCACTAGTTAATTGACAACTCCACTCTTATAGAGAATATGTATATTTAAAAAGGATATATTTAAAATTAATATATTCAGAGAAAGTTTTTTATATTTTTTTATTATTAATTTTTTATCTTTATTTTTTTTTAAAGTAAAAATAATATATAACAATATATATTTTTATGTTATAAATTAAAAAAATAGTCAAAACATTTGATAAGATTATTATTAGCATTTATTGTATAGTTTTTTTTTTAATAATAAGTTTTTAATAATATTATATTGTTTTTTGTAAAATTTAACAAAAAAATTAAAGTTATAAATAAATAAAAAAACTCTTCTTGCTGATTCTTTTGCGAACTCAAAAAACAAATATTCTTGAAAGATTTTTTATTTTTTAATAATAAAGTTTAAATACTTTCTTTAATAACATATATTCCTAAAAACAAAAGCCTCTTCTATTTGTCTACCTTTTCTTCTTCAAAACTCTATGGATATTTTAATAATAAAGTATTTGAAATTTATTCATTTAGTCTATAACAAGAACACTTTACTGAAAAGAAAAAACCAGTCAAAAAAATGTTCTTCTTTATCCTTCTTCAAGGTTTGAAATTCTAGAAGAGCCTATTAGTAAATGCATTTTCCAAGCTCCATAAGAACCTTAAGTCCATTATAAGTAAATACTTTTGTCTAAAAGTGAATAGATAAGCTAGTATTCTAATCTGTAAATATAAATATATGATTCTCTTTACCAATCAAATGTCCATAGCAGCTTTCTCAAGTGTGTTAACAAATTTTCAGAAATTTTTGGGAAATTTTGTCTACCTCAGTTTGACCTTGAATTTTTTGTTATACTGGAATCTCCAGTTAATAATTAGTCTAGATTTTGAATTAGCTAATCAACACATAGCAAAAAAAGTAAACAAGACATATACTTCTCACATGTTTCTTATTATACAACACAATAATGATAATGTAATTAGAGAAAGTAGAAAAGCAAGACATTGTAATGTTCTTTTAAATAGAAGTGGTTTGATATTTTTCCTTTCTCTTTTTGAACTGGTTTTTTTTCTCTTCAAGATTAAAAAAAGTTTTACTTCAAACCAGTAACAAGCTTCTTCTATTGTTAATTATCCTAAAAAGCATCAAGCAATAATTTTTTAAGATAAAGTCTTGTTTTAAGCAATAATTTCTTATAGACATAGGACTTGTTATAAGTATCTTGAACATTCTTGATTAGCAATGGAATAGTAGAAATTAAATGATTAGTCCAGTTGCAAGTAATAGTAAAGGATTTATCTCAATGAATCAAAGTTGATATTGAAGAGTTTTTATTTATCAGAACAAACTTTTCAATTACCCTTTTTATTTCTTTTTTCTTTCTAAAAAAATAAATTTTTTTTTATCTTTTAGGACTAGAAATAGACAAATTAATGCATTTTGAATTTTTTCATGCATTATGTATATTATGCTGCATGTATGCATATAATAATATTATATATGATAGCCAATTTTTTTTAAATCTGATTTTTTTTCTTATATAAGTAAAATAGAAATTTGTTTTTTGCTAATTTTATAACAATCTTATATTATGAATTTTTTTTGAATTATCTATTCATTTCCTCTCTTATTCTTTCTTATATACATAGGTAGCAAATTTAACAAAATATGAGTTTGTTTTTTGTCAATAATATACTAATTGTATTATTAATTGATTTATAGACAAAAATTTTTTTATTACTTCACTTTTTTCTCTTCTTCTCATCCATATAATCTTTTGATAAGTAGACTTAACAAAATACAAATTTATTTATTATTAATTGATACTAATTGTATTATTGATTGGTTTGTAGGTTTTTTAATAAGCAAATTTAACAAAATATGAGTTCATTTTTTGCCAATTTACTTACTACATCATTGATCAGTTTGCAGACTTTTTTTTATATCACTTCTTTCTTACATATATTTATATAATCTCTGTTTATTTTTTGCCAATAACATGCTAATTGTATCATTAATTGATTTATAGGTAAAAAAAGTTTTCATTACCTTTCTTTCTCTTCACTTCTCTTTATTCACATAATCTGTTAATAAGCATATTTAACAAAATACAAATTCATTTATTACCAATTGGCACTAATTATATTATTGATTAGTTTATAGATTTCTTAATAAATGAATTTAGCAAAATACAAGTTTATATTTTGTCAATTCACTTACTATATCATTGATCGGTTTGCAAGCTTTTTTTATATTACCTCTTTTTTTTTTTTGATAAACATCAGTTCTTTATTATATGTATATACTAAGATATAACTTTGAAAAAGAACCTACATCT